CAGATCATCTGCAGGTATAAAGATAGTCTGTACTCCACTGTCCAAGTCATGGATTAAAGTATCCTATAACACACTCGGAGGACACCCCTGGAGAGCTCTGTTTGATGCATCCTTCCACTCTTCCACTGAACCATTGGAGAGCCACGTGTACAGAGTAGTTATCAATGGTGGACCCGCTTTGTATAAAGCTGTGTTCTTTCTTACAGAAATGTCATGCAAGATGGCACTAAACGCTCTACTAATTTATAATGTGATCACATCTTCTGTGTTTTTTCTATGAGGCCTGTTAATTTTCCTCAGAAGGAATTTTTGCCTGATGTAAGCTTCTGAAAAGGCCATCCATGTTGGCTTGCTGCTGTTTAGGTAATAAATAGGTGGTTCTGCTTTGCTTTGGTTTTCCTCTGAGGCATTGAGCATGGGCTGTCTGACCTGTTATTTTCATGTTCTTCAAAGATAGGTGCTTAGGCCTTTTTAATCTTCTGGATCATTCCTATTCTCAAAGTTAATGAAAACAGTAGTCAGTGATACTGGAAGGGAGAACTGTCTGAGGTGGTGTAGCGTGAATTTTTTATTTTGCCACTGGGGGGGAGGGAGTGTGGGGAGTGTGGTATTCTTCACATGTTCTTCTTGTTGCCCTTAAATGCTGATGTTGGTCAGTAGTTTGAAGATTGAAATGTAGCTTCGGCTATGTCATGAGCAATGATGTTACTGTTCCTCCTTCGAAGGTAGTAGCTGGAAAAAGGCAGCCTCTGTATGCCAAGCTGATACCCAGCACTTCCAAAGCCAGTATCACTATTTAAACTAAAAGGCATTTATCTGTATGCTTGAAAATTTGCCAACTTTAATGGGCATGGTTTCTGGCAAAGCAGAGCTCTCTAGAATAAAGTTTGTATTTGGCATGTGCTTGTCCTGATTAATAGCAGAGGGAGGATACTCATTTGAATATGAGGTGAGACTTTGGATGTGGTTTAGATTTCCCTTTTAAAGGGACAGCTTGAACTTTCAAGTGTTCAGAGAACTGAATAATTCTTATCCTTTAAATTTAGATCAAATTTCTGTTGCATTAAAACTATTGTTAGAAGCTGTAGCATGGGAGTGTGTTGTGAATATTGATATTTGTGAGCTTTTAAAGGAAATAAATGCAGTATATGTTGTAGGACTTCTTTATAGAGACATAGAGGCATTTTTTACCAAGTGAGATACGGTTTGAATGTTTAAAGCTAGTTGTCTGCCATAGTCTCTGGGACTGGAATCGAGCCTCTCTGTCCTTGGGAATACCTGTTCTCCCCTCTTGCCAGAGATGAAGGAAGGGAATTGCCTGGTGTGCCTCCTGCAGTGGCTCTGGTGGTGGGCTCCTTTTCTCTGGTTCGGCGTCAGGGACGTCCCCTTTCTGTCTGGCTGTTGGGCTCCACTGTGTCAGTCTACCAACAGCTGGGGCTGAGTCTTGACCTCTGGGACCTGGCTGTCTGCTGGGGAGGGGACCTGAGGAATCTGCTTTTCTGGTCCAGGCTGTCCCCTACATTCAGGTGAGGTAGCATCAAGAGGAGTTCTGGTGTTTCAGCTGAGACACAGCAGCAGGCTAGGTTATGCTACTTCTGTAAGCAGTTTCCTCCATCGTTTCTGCAAACTGAAAGGAGTTTTTAGTAATTCTCTAACCTTTTACTGTTTGTTGTGATTAAAAATAGATGCCTCAGCAGCCGGAAACTTAATCGTATTTGTTCAGACCTGCATATTAGGCATTGTTCATGTTACCTCTGAGGATTTGCTTTTCCTGTTTAGGTAGCCCCCCCACCCCACCCCCCAATTAACATCTTGCTAAAATATAGCTATGGAGTAGAAAATGTTCTCTTAATTGCCTGAAGTAATACAAAACCAATTTCAACAGCAGGGCGGACAAACGAGAATTTAACAAGGAAAACTTTTTCATACCTTTCCAGATATTTGCTTAAGATTATTACAAGAATATATAGCATATAAGGTATCAGTATAAAGATAGACCATATGAAATACATGCCATGTGGTCATAAACCACAACTTTTTATACCTAACAATAGCAACAGGGTTTTATATGCTGCAAGTAAATTTATCTTGCATGTTAAATGACTTTCTATTTACGGTCACTTTCTGAGGAAGAGACTTGCTACATACTCCTCACAGACAACTGAATTAGGAAGAGCTTGGGCCTCGTCCTTCCCTTCGACAAAGGAATGCTCTCTTGATCTGCAGATGCCAGTTGCTTTCCATATATTAAGTCCCCGTGTCACTCAAATGTCCTTTAGTTATTGTGTCGCTCTTCCTATAATTAGTTGTATTTAGTTGTCACTCAAGTGTGCAATACTTATGAAAACATAAGTAGTACCAGCACAAGAGCATGATATGTATCAGCTTGATCAAGCAACTTCTGTAGCAGGTTTTAAGCTAAATTCCAGACTTGAATGGAAATTTTTTTTGAAGGGTAGAGTGGTGAAGGTGGGAGAAGGAGAGACAAGTGTCAAGAACAAGTGATTCTTGATCATTGCTGATGCACAAATGTTATTCTTGCAAGGTTTTTGGTATACACCTGCCCTGGGAATCAAATTACCACAGATAGTGTTTTGTTATGGTGCTGCTTCTGTAACTTTTCTTTTGTGTTCTATGATTTTAAATATACAGTAATTGTACTTAAATGGAAATATTAATTAACTTGAAGACGGTTGTTTTAAGAAGTCTTCTTGCTGCAGTCTTAGAAAAGCGATGGGTACCTATGCTTCTAATGTAGGTATACAGTTCTAATTTCAAAACTGGCTTTAAAAACTTGAAGTAATACTAGCTTTTCTGAAGATTTTTCAGCTATGCTATTGCATTCTTCTCTAGGGCTGGCCTAGCTATAGCAACATAAGGATGAACTGCGGTATTGCTACAAGGAGTTTCAAAGCTTAAGTATAATGTTCTGATAAGCCACTAAGCAGTAGAGAATTTTGACTTTGTGCTTCATTCAGTATCTTGTAAACAGTAAGGATTTAGATGAGACTTCGGAGAATCAAGATCTTCAAATCACACTCCTGGTATAGTTGCTATCTATGGGGCAAATGCACGCTGAATGAGGAAGGTCAGGCTGTCCCAGGGGTTTGGCACTGGTGACAGAATTTGTGCTGTAGTGTCTGGTTTTCAGCAAGGTTCCTGGAGCCTGTGCTGAAGGCCTGAGACCCAGGGTGGTAGTGAGAGCACTCGGATTTACTGCTTGGCAAGCACCTCCGGACAGCAGCTGCCCTATTGCACATTGAGAAGGGGGAGCATGAGGATGACTGACAGCCACTTACAAAGTTAGCGATGTAGATTCCGCTTCTCAGTTTTAACTTGATCTGGTTTTCAGTTGTAACTGAATCTATTGTAGCTTGAATGAGACATATTTAGCTCTGACTTCTAGGTCCCTTTGGAGAACTCATGTGTTTTGAATATAAACTAGGGTGCTAAGTAGAATAGAAATGCTGGGTACTGTTTGTAGAGACATTTTGTGAAATATGAAAAATGTGAAAGGTATCTCTTGAATTTAGGTGTGTATAGCATTAGAGTGGTATACAGCTTACCTGTACAAGATTGTCAGCGTGACATGAGATGTTTCATTAATGGCTTTACAATTGTCTTTTTACAGTAGCAACTTGAAATAGCATGAAAATCCATAGGGTTTGAAGATTACTTTTTCTTTTTGAATCTGTATGTCCTTAAAGGAAACCCATAGAAACAGTAAGGCTTTTCAGTCATTGAACTGTTCTTTAGGCATTCTGTGAAGTCTGTAAACTTTTGGACGTAAATTTAACCTGTCTGGACAGCTAATTTACTTTGTAGTGAAGGTTGAATAAGAGAGTTAGTATTTTTATTACGTACCCATTTTCAATATGTCTGTCTGATTCTTGGATCTCATAGGAATCCGTCAACTGCATTCTACCAAGCGTTCCATTTCAACAAGTTACGCGAGTCAAAGACCTTCTGGGATAGGTATGAATGCTTAAGTATGGAATGCATACGTGCTGAGGTATGCATGAACAGCTTTGCTCTATGCAAGTTTCTCGTCATTTTCGTTTGCACAGAACTGCTGCTTATGTTTAGAACTTGGTATTGGACTTCTGCAGCCTGAAGGTCTGAGAGCAGTCATGGAAGTGAAGTATTTGTACTGAAACTTAAAACAAAATAAATCTAAAATATGACATGACATTTTTTCTTCCTCCTTCCATTATGCATGTATCATACATCATGTGTAAGCTGAAAGAGTTTAATGCTACTCAGCTACTAGCTGACCTGCACTAAAATATGATTTTCCAAAAAAAAAAAAAGAAACTTTTTGGCATTGTGGCTATTGAGTCCTATATCAGAAAACAAGTTGTGAAAATGTTATTGAAACACAGTTTTGGCATAGTTGAAATCTTTCCATCTCAAAACCAGGAAAGGAAGCTTTCTGGCTTGCTTTCATTCTGCTTTAGTAAAGCTAGATGTGGTACAAACGTGAACCATGACAAGATACGAGGACAAAGTAAACCTACTAAGTTGGCATTGAACTCATGGCGAGAAACTGCAATGAAGTGCAACGAAGTCGTATCTCTTATGGATATGACTTGTCAGAGATGCATTACTAATTCATCAGTAGCTGCAAACTGTTTTTTTCCCTCACTTTAATGATTTTGAAGGGTTTTTTTTGTCAGCATTAAGTTGAAGTCCTAGTGATTATGTGACTTCATGCCTTGTGTTGCACTGGCTTGTCACAATACTTCTGCTTAGCAAGCTCTGTAGAAGCTATTGAAGTATTGATAACTGTATCATCATTGCACTGGCTGTATTTGACTTGAGAGGCTTTTCAACTTGCAAAGCGTAATGGAATCCTTTAAAGTTTGCTTGGCAACAATTTGTATACCATACAACAGTGATGGTTAAAAGTAATGCTAATGCATCCTGCTCTGTTTTTTGCTGAAGTGCTAGCAGTAGACTAAGTTTCAAAAGCACATCTTCCTTTTTGAGCAGAAACTTGTACAAATTTGCATTTTTGCCTTAAGCTCTGGATGATGCCACTTTTCTATATTTATGGGATGGAGTTGGTATTTAGGTTCCAAGGACTTCATTATTTATCTGAAATAAACTTCAGGGCCTTGAACACAAATTTGGTAGTTAAACCAAAAGCTCACTTTAAGGTCTAGCCTTCATCTGTTTCTCTATTTTTGTGTCTTTTAATTTGAAATAATTCTGAAGATGGGGAAGCTGATTCAAAAAACCCTAAAATCAAATAATTAATGAATAAGATGGAGGCTTCAAAAATCTGATGTTTCTGTACAATGTCTGAAGCAAGTATTGGAAGCCTGGGATATAGAAAACATTAAATTCAGGTAGAATAATGTAAATGGCTTCCTTTAAAAATAGGCCTGCACCTTTGCCATTGAACACTTTGTAGTAAAAACAAGTATTTGTAAAAACATTGAAGCAAACTCATCAGGATTGATGCAAGTTTTAAACTTCTAATCTGTTCAAATTCCAAAGTCTTTGACAGGGTTTAGCAGGTTTTGCATTTATAACCCAGTTATTAAGCTTTCTTAAGATAACGTTAATGTAGTTTTGCTTTATTAGGTGACTGAAACTGAAAATCTTTCAACAGTAAACTTCCAATGAAAACCTAATGCAGTGAACTTCAAGGGCATAGCTGGTAAAGCGAGTTCTGGGGAGCACTTCACAGGGCAGGGGAATGGTGGAGCTCATTTGTGTGGCTCTGCCAGCAATGTGCGTCCTGGCAGCAGCAGGACGGGCGACTGACGGTGCCCTGGTAGCTCTGCTTTGCACAGGCAGGACGGCCTCTAATGCAGGTGGGGATCTACTGCCAGACTTGAGGGGTTTGATAACAATTACAGTGGTTTGGGGCTTTTTTTGTGATCTCCAATTTGTGAAAGAGAAATCTCTGCCATGAAAATGGTAAGGTCGTCTAATTTCCTCAAAATCTCTTTGTTTCCTCATCCCAAAACGTGGGGGTTAACACACTGCAAAACATAAGGATCTTAAGCCTGCTGGCAGTAGACCCCTTAATTATATTTTGCAGCTCCTTCAGAATTAGTTTGTGAACCTCAGGGTCTTGAGTTAGACTTCAGTGTAAACATAATAGAAAATCTTCCTGTGTAATTTCAGCGTTTTTTTCTAACAAATACAGATTATTCTCATATGAGCAGCCATCTCTTGGGACCATTTGAAGTCAGCAAAGCTAACCACATGCTATTGCAATAGACAGTAAAAGATTGCTAAATTGCTCCAGTAAAATAGACTAGTTTTGGTTTTTTTTTTTTCCACTAATGCACCATGGCAGGGAAGAGTGCGGGTAACATTCAAACCATTAAATATTAGTGAAATACTAGTTGTTACTGACACCTTTGCAGGAAGCCTGCAAATGTTTTTCTCCATGGTGTTCACATGGGTGTTGCTAAGGGCACAAGTCTCATGGGTCTGTCTTTTCAACTGGGTGGTTACTGAGAGGATTAAGAAGGGGAATAATGGCTTCTTGGCATATTCACATGAGTCTGGGTGACTGCTCTTCTGTGCCTGGATTGCCTTTGCATGGTAATAGTCCCATAGGAGCTTTAGATGGGTTTGCTTAAAACATAGCCATTGTTGGTATACTTGAATTTAAAGCAGTAGGATTTATGTTTCCATTGCATTTTTGTGTGAAGCATTAAACCTTCACAATACAAATTAACACATAAAATGTGTATTTTTCTCCCCACATTAGCATCCAGATAAATGTATTCTGAGTGTTGCTGGTAAACATCTTTCTTCTTATGTAAATGTGATGAATTAGACAGCCTTTTTTCATGTGGTGGGTTTTGCCAAACTTCCATTTCCCTCTTCCATGCCTATTAAATGAGGTGCTCCTCCTGGAGACAGGAGAAAAGAGAGTTACACATCTCCCACTTTTTGATTGTAGCCTTATCTGGAGCTTCTTTTAGGGGTGAAACTTTTCTGATTTTAAATTAAAAGTCTAAAACTCCATGTGAAATTTGAAGAGTTTTAGGATGAGGCTGACATTTCAGGTAAACCACCGATCCAGTAAGTGTTGTGGGTAATATGTTTCTTCTTGATACTTGCTTCTCATGGAAGTGGTGTGCAATGTGACTGTCTGCATGCATAGGGAAGAGTGTTTGGTTCATTAGTGTAACTCAAAAACTTGCCAAAACTATGAAGGTGCCACATTTTAATGTTTAAAAAAACCCAGCTAACCAACAAATCCAAATCAATTCAACTCAAACAACATCTTGGTTTTCCCCAGAAGTAGTCTGTCTTTTATAGAGCTCATGGCATTGCTTCTAAGATCAGTTATGATGTTATTGAATAATTGATCTTCAGAGTTCTGTGTAAAACTGAAGAAAATGTAGCTGTCCTGTGGAACCAAGTAGTCAGCTCCCCCATCAGAGAACTAATGTGGAGCTTAAGCAGACTTGCAGGGAAAGTCAGGCACCTGCCGGTAATCCTGAGGCTGTGAATTCACTGCCTCAAACTTGCTCACATTCTTTGTGGCTTTGACAAAGAAAAATTATGAAAACCTGAAATACTTGCATAGATATTCTTTCAAGGCTGGATAATTGATTGTATTGGGAAGTTATTATAAAATCTCGTAATTGGATGGAGGCTAATTAAACGTGCCTTAACTATAAGAATAGACAAGGTTTCTCTGGACAGACTAAATAGCTCAGCTAGTAGTAAGATATGAAGAGTGGCTGGTTAAGTGACTACAGTAGCTCATAAATGAGTAAACCAATGAGGGGGAAAAAACCAAATTAACACACTGTTTTAGTTTGTAGTTCACTTGTGAGCAAAACAAATGTGGGAACACTTCAAGGTACCTTACTGTTCCTTCCAGGAAGGTTGTTACTGCTTTAAATCAAGTTATCAAGCAATGAAAGAGCTAGGGGAGATCACTGGGTTCAGGGATGTCTGTCTGAAACTGCAGCATGTAACATCTTTTCCACTTTAACCTAAAGCAAAGTAGATCTCATGCTTTAAAGGAAGAGTTGGCCTATAGAGGCGGTTGGACAGACTTGCTAGCATCGGTGTACCCTTGTGTAGTCTGTTCTGCAGGCAGTCTCTTCCACTCTCGCAGGATTAGCAATGTTGAATGATAGGGTTTATGTGTCTAAAAGCATGAGGTGAATAGTTCAGTAACTCTTGATGCTAAAATTTAAAAGAAATATCAAGAGCAAGAAAAAAGCAAGAAAACTCGTGCATTCTGGCAGTCTTTGGGGGGTGTGTGACTTGCTGCTAAGAAATTCCTTGGGAAAGTAGTATGCAGATAGTCAGCAATACAGCTGAACACAGAATCTGGTTTTTGTTACTGAGTAAAAAACCTGAAGCTTCAAAATTAGTTCACGTCATCCAGTCAGTAGGATTTGCAGTCTCATTTAAATGTGAAATGCTAGTACTTAGTCTAGTACTTGACAGTGCCAAAGTAGGGCTGTTTATAACTCTTATTCCTACTGCATCCAATGTTGGCATAAAATACACACATTACTGAGGACTCTGGAATCTCTAAAAAATGAACCACTGTGTTCTTTTATTTTTTTTAAGCATACAGAGTGAATTAAGCTGCAAATGCCTTTTATTTTGAAGTTTGATTCCTAGGCTTTCTACCTAGATTTCAAAGTGAATTTTGAAGTTGAGAACATGTCTCTTAGAGGCATGATAGTTATACCTAAAGACATCAGTGGTGAAAACACCAAGCTGAGTGCAGTATTGCTTGTTGAATTCACCACTGAAATAGATCTTGGTGTCTACAAATGCGAGATGATGTTGAAGGTTACATTTTCCTCCAGCCATTAAAGTTAAGACATTAGCCTTTTTTGTTGTCTTCTGATCCACTCGTCCTCAATTTTTCCATTAGTCACTTATTTGCTTTCCCATTCTGTGAACAGTGTTGTTAAAGTTTTGGAATAGTCTATAGTAAGTAAGCTTTCTTGAACTGCAAAATTACGGTTTACAAAGAGTGCCTGTTTGATCACTGAAAATACAAGTATTATATAATGAAGCTGTACACTGGCATGTGTTGTGCTAACAGGGCTACCAAACACTTTTTTTCAAAAATATTATAGCTTGTTGATGATACATGTCTTTCCAATAATATCTTACCTTACTCTTGGGATAACATGTCTCCATACGAAAAGTTTTTGCAGCAATGAAGTCAGTTATACCGCGGCTTTTAAGAATGCGACGCATCATGGAAAACGTGATTTCTGTATATTGTGTATTAGAAATCAGACTTGCACTTGAATTTACCAGTTCTCTTTCCATTTTCTTAATCTATATGTACATGATCATCCAAGATGCTTTTCTCACTTTGTTTGCAAGACATTTGAAACAAAAAACCTACAGTCCTATTCTTGAGTTGTAGGCATATAGGAGATATATACCTAAAATACAACCTGAAGATTTCCGAGGTGCAAGCTGTAAGTACTTGATGAAACATTTTTGTTCCAAATGCTGCATACCTGATTGTGAGCTATAGCTAAGCAGTGTTGTTAACGGTCAAAATCTAATTTTCTTCCTGGTCTTTCAAAGTAAAATGTGAAAAAACTTACATTTAAGCCACTAGGATTTTTTTTTTTAAACAATCAAAATAAGGATTTCTCAGACTAAATAGGGTTCTGCCTATCTGGTGTGTAAGGTAGAAAAATGTTGGGGTTTACCGTCCATCTCTAGAAATAGCAAGCTGTATTTGGTAATCTTTGCCATTGTTGCTGAATACAAATCTTGCCTTGTACTTGATGGGCCTCAAAGTGATCTTGGTATACCAATATATCCTCTTTTTGATCAGAGCCTCCATTTATGTAGCCTTAACTTGGAGGTCGAAGTCAACCTGAATTGTTCTCTTAAATTACAATGTGTGCGTATGGTGGCTAGTTGACTGCAAAAGCTCAGTTTGAGGGGGGGTGTGGAAAGTTTGCAGTTACAACAACAACAAGAAAGTAAATTATACGCCTAATGCATCCCTTTCAACTGCCCTACATTACTTGGTGTGGATTTTTGTTTGTATTACAGCTTTGACAATAATTGTCAGACTTCTGTAGTTCCTGGAGCAATCAACTTGGTCTAAATAGTAATACATCTTTTATAAGAACTAAACATGTCTTTCCACTTCTAACTGAAGAATTTCCAAGTTGAAGTGTTGGATATACACTCTGTGAATGCACCATGCACTGTATCAAACACTTTCCAGTTATAACATCCAAAGAGACTTAACAGATTCCTCGCCGCCCCCCCCCCCCGGCTTTTTCATAAGGACTGATTGTATCTATACATTCCATTCTGCAGCCATAGGATAAAATATTTTTATGCAAACTGGGATTTGATATCAACAGCTAAGGATTTGAGAAAAATACAAAATCTTAAGATTTGGCAGTGTATTTGGACTGTACCATATGAATAGCTGGCACTGGAGTACTCTGCTTCTGAATGTCTTGCAGGGAGTATGGGGAGTACCATAAAATGAATAAAGGACAGAATCATATGGGAGTTGTGCTAGCATAAAATCTAATTCTCATATGCTTTTAGAAAGTGAAATGAAATATTGTCATCAGGATAAAACCGCATCTGACTTGCTGAAGGCTGCTGTGTCGGCATGGAACTTCTCCTGGGGTGGGCGGGAGGTGGTCTGTGTGGTTCTGGGCTCTGCCTGCTGGAGACGAGCAGGATGGACACCAGGATTTGTGCGGGGAGCAGGTCTCGAATCCTGACTTTGTACTTTGATAATAGTGTGAAATGCTTTGGGGATAAGGGCAACAAGAATATTGAAATGAATAAAAGTAGTGTATAAACTACTCACAGCTTTCAACACTATCAGTATCTCTTTAAGCATAAAATACAGGCGGAAGAGGGATAGTTTCTCTGGCTGCATTCAAATCACGCTTACAGGAAGGGACAGTTCTTACACCCACATTGTGAACACTGCACTCATTTAAAAGGCAGACAAGAATTCAGAGTGCAAGGTACAACGTGGGAAGGGTGCTTCTGCAGCATGCCATGCAGGTACGGGTGTTCTAGGTGACTAAGGGGAAGACTGCCTGTCCTCCCCTTAAGAAACTTTTTCATGGAACTGATCGAATGCCTTAACTCTGAGTGATGTAGTGGACTTTTTTTTTTTTTTTTTAATAACCACACTGCAAAATAGTTGAAACAGGAATAGAAGAACAAAGTCCCAATCTCAAATTTAACTAGAAAAGTGTTGACAAAATGTGTTTCATTACTCTGTAACGATGCAGAAGCAGATCCTGCTACAAAGCATGCTTTTTGCTTTAATTTTGCTCTTGTCTTTATCTCTTCAGAGCTGCCTCACCTGACTTAGAGTGGTATTCATGGAAGGCTTTGTCAGGGATGTGGAGCAGTCTTAGGGATTCCAATGGCTCTTGAATACAGACATTTTTGACAGTTTCAGATAGATCTGAAACACCTTAATTCAAGATGGAAAGGAATACTTAACCTTGTCATGAATTATAAATACTTTTTATTCTGAGGACGTTTAGCACATGGCTTGAAAGAGGCTTAGGAGACAGTAAGACAGTGGAATAACTTTCTTGTGAAAGGGGTGTTTAGTGTTTTTGTTTCAGATTACAGGCTTTGTTCAATTTAGAAATAGAGGCTGTTATTCCATCAGTCTGAAAAGCTGATTCCCTCTACTTGTGACTGCTGGGTGCTAGGTACTGACAATTCTTGTGAGACTTGTTCAGATGGATTTCTCTAAATAGTGTCATATTTTTTCAGTAGTTGAGCTTTGTTTCACGTATGTAACTAATACTGCTGAGCATATTGCCAGTACTCATTTTAAAATGCCTTAAGTAGTGTTTTTCTGGGTTTCAGTGAGTGTTACGTATTTTCGGAGAGGCGGGTTTCCAAGCATGACCGCAAACCTTGCGTTTTTCCACGTATGTTAACTTTTTTAAACGTAGCTGCACACTGCTGATAGCAACTTCCATCGCTGGGGAGCATTATCAGTAGTTATCAGCGGCAGGCCTGGTAAATGGTCCAAGAACTGCTGCCGTATGTCAGACACGGAGCTGTGGAGTAAAATCGGACCACTGAGACCTACTATGGGAAGGCGGGCACGGAGAGTACGGGACCAACAGAGCGTGTGTGTGGATGGAGCATTATGCGGCTGACCTGGGGGTGTTCCTCTGCTGTAGTCAGTGGTGCGGGGTGCCCTGTCTGACTGGCTGGGGAGAGCTACAGCTCCTCTCCAAACGGAGAGATCGGAGTCTGTGTATTGTGACTTGAAAACAGCAAAAATATTAAGGTCTGGATTTCCGTAACCCAGGATTTAAAGATGTAGTTCCACATCTTGTTTTGCACAGTAAATACACATTCTTACAGTGATGACTGAGATGTTTTGTTGGACTGTTCTGCACCAGTATGTCTTTGGAACAAGACTGGCCCTGACTGTAACCAGCCAACTGCAGTGCATTTCTTAAATGTTAAACGTGACCCAGTGGGAATTCATTAAAACCCAGTAAGTGTGCTCATGGAGTTCAGGGCTTTCATCGTGTCCTACTCTTCTATTGACTACTGTCACTCGGTTGCAATGTTGTAAATATGGTGCTGATCCAGGAACTTTTTAACTGGAAAGCAGTCTTCAAGTAAGGCCAGAGAACAAATATTATAACAGGTTTTTTTCTTCAGTGCTTTATAAAAGGAATTTAGCAGAAATAAAGCTAGAGGTAAGGACCTTATGAATATCCCATGAATCCCTGTTTTTCTCAGTGAAGAAAACTAAAAAATGAGGCAAGGAATCAAAGCCGTTAATTTACTGTTTATTCTAATGCATTTTTCTGGTTATGGGTGTCATAAGTCTGAGGAATTATAAACTGAAGGAGCAGTGTCTCTTAAGAGCTCTAACTGTACTGGGTAATACAGTGAGGAGGGGGAACCCCGTGATTGTGTACTGAATTCTTGAATCTGAAGCTTTAGCTTTCCAGCGAAAGCATGTTCTAGGAGTCCTGCGGGTGTCAGTGGATGCATAGGTGTAACTGAACAATACAGTCATGCTCACTAAGTTTTCTCCTTATATTTACAGTGCGTCTGGTGCAAGTGTTGTTGCCATTGACAACAAAATAGAACAGGCAATGGTAAGTAAAAAATAAGTTGTTACTTCTAACAGGATTAGTAGTTCATCACTGAGCATAAGTTTCCAGTTGTGTTTCTGTGAGTCTGTAATGTCCTTTCAGTTGGGTCAGACTGAGACCATCGTTTGAAAAAAGGGTTTTCTGTGTCAACTATGGGATGACAACAAACCGTGATTGCCTTTACTGTTGGCCCAGAACTATTCTTAAAAAAATTTTCCTGTGAATTTCTGTGAACAAGCTGATTGAACTTAAAAGGGTGCGGAAAATAAATAGTGCATTTAAGTCTCTTACTTTAGCAAAGTTCATCACTAGTTTTTCTTAGTTGTCACTTATGCTATGCCATCCTTGGCATTTTGTTCAGCTTCAGTTACGTCTGGTTTGATTTTTTTTTTTTTTTTTTTTTACTTCTGCTGATTTAAAGGTTTTCTCATTTCTTAGTTCTCGTACACCTCCGTGCTTGGGACTGTGTAACGCATACTCCAGGTCAAAGCTTTAGAGCTGATGCTTTCATCCTGGAATAGCTGGAATGTAATTCTAGTCCTTGTCTTGAGTGTAAGCGAGGTGACTAGAACTTATTGCTGGAAACAAAGCTTTTGATGTAAGGGCCACTTTACAGTGAATAAAAGGGCTAGGTTGTTTGTTCTTGAAGGCTAATCTAGTCATATATTTTTAGTGACGAGTGATTTAGTTTTCCAGACTTACCTCAGTGAAAGCAGTAAATAGTAAATCCTGGGGCTGGAGTGGAATGAAATTGTTCTTTCACTTGGTGTAACTGTTAACTTGTTCTCCACAGGATCTAGTGAAAAGCCATTTGATGTATGCAGTAAGAGAAGAAGTGGAAGTCCTGAAGGAACAAATTAAAGAATTAGTTGAAAGAAACTCTTTACTTGAACGAGAAAATGCACTGTTAAAATCTCTTTCAAACAATGATCAGTTATCCCAACTTTCAACCCAACAGGCCAATCCTAGTAGCACTTCACAAGCGCAAACAGTGATAGCACAGCCTCCGCAGCCAACGCAACCTCCACAGCAGCCGAATGTCTCCTCAGCGTAAAGCTTTCTTGCCTCCTTTGAAAAAAAAAAAACCTGAGAGCAGTCTGTCCTTGTGTGCCACTGATGTTCTTTCCACTTTATATGAAAGCAGGTAGCCATGCTTCTGTTGTGTGTTTGGCCTTTTCAGTATTAGACAATCATTCTACAAGAGCTGTCCCTCACTGGTATATCATGAAGTGCAGTTGGTGTCCGTTATGTCATCAGTGCACAAGGGAAGTCGTAGAAGGAGTTACTAATGCAAAGAATGCATTTGCTTGGTGTGCAGGAGTGAGGTCTTTAAGAGCTTTGGTGGCTCTCCAAGGTTTCCATTTCCCATGGATTACTTTGAGCCTTGCTATCTGGTAAGAAGTAACAATTCATCTTAAGAAGAGCCACTGTTCTTTCAATATAAGTAACGTTTGCCTACATTAGTTTCATTTATTTGTTTTATTTATTACAGGGCTGCTATTTTCATAATGTACATGAACAATGTCACAGAACTTTTTTAATTTTTTTTAATAAATGTATGTATCAGCAAAATGATAGGTGGGATTGTGTTTAATAGATAAAATGTTTAGGCAATAATTGAACAAAAGAATCCTGGCATATTTCTAACACTAATGGCAATTTACCTTTGGTATTTATTTACGGTAGTAAAGATCCAGCTTGAATGTAAATTTTGTATAGAGTGTAAGTATGAAGACCATAGTGCATCTGTACAGGTAGTCACCAGTTATTGTGATATAATAAATAATTGATGGGCTATTTTGATGAAGAAAACTTTGCTCATTTCTGTTTCTACTTTCTAATAGAGAGAAATTGCCATGATTCCTCTGCTTTTTGACATTTCGTATAATTTTTTTTTTTTTGGATGGGAATAAAAAGCTGTGAAATTGTTCAACCTACTTTGTAACCAAAGAAGCAAAGCTGTGTAATTGAGGTTTTTTTTTATTTTATAATGCACATTCTTTATGTATTTTTATTTAGTGTTTTCTCATTCACAACTTTCTTTGCTGTCTAGCATGATCTGCATGACCTATAATCTCTGAACCACTTTCGTACCTCATGTTTTTATCCAGCACTCTTATTGTAATATGTAATAGTCTGTGAACAATGTCAAATAAAAAAGGAAGAACAGCTGGTGTTGGTGGAGCTGAGCTAGTGTGCTATGCACTAGTTGTTTAAAACAAAAAATAAATGAAGTGAGCCATCTTTTGTTCATTTAAAATGGTGTTTTGAATTTCGTATGCAGAAAACGTTTTGTTACATTGCAGATTTTAATGTATTTAATAAATGCAACATGCAGATTAAGTGCAGTGTATACTGAGTATTTAAATTAAAAATGTACATTTCATAATACAGTTTCAAGAAAGACCATCATTTGTGTAAACTAATGCAGTGTGTCAAATTGATGTATAAATACATATATTTTAACACATTTCCTGAAATTAAACTGCAGTTTTGTTGAATTTCGGGGGGGCTGTAGATGTTGGTACAGTGTAACTAAATTCAAAACTAAATTTTTTTCTTAACAAAATGGAAAAAGGTAACTTCAGTGAGCCAGTAATCGAATAATGCCAAAATTTTAATTGCTTTTCTTGCAACAGACTTTTATTCCAGGAAAAGCATAGTTCTGATTCTGTCAGTGACCCTACTGGTTTTGGGTTTGCACTAATATATATAAATTAAAATTTGGCTGCATGCTGGGATGTTGAAACAGTCTGGTATCTTGGTGCGTTAAACCTAAGAATTTACTTCTGAGAAACCTAGAAGAGTAAACTGCACAGCGTGCCTTCCCAGGCAGCTGTCCTGGATGTGGCCCTGCGTCATCATCCCAGCGTGCTGCAGTCCAGTTCACTCCTGAGCCTGTACGTATGTTTGTCAGGTTGCCTACAAATGTTTGCTTTGGTATCTTACCCTTGTATATGTCTAACTCTGGTCAGGTTTATGTGTTAGGAAAAACAAAAGAAGCAACACTGGAAACCACCAGTTTCAGTGTCTTCAGATCTCAAGGAAACGTCCTTGCCCTGTGTTCCAGAAACTTAGAGCATCACACCTTCCTGGTAAGCATCAGTTCACAGCACAGTTCAAAAAAGCTGTGTGTGTGTGTGTGTATGTAATATATATGAAAAAGTACTCACTGAAATACTACACTAAAATGATCTTCACTTCAGCTGTAGATTGGTGCTTTTGGCCCGCTATAAGCATGCGTGTACAGTGCTATAAATCCTTTAGTGAAACAAGAGCTTTGTGTGCAAGTTAGAAAACAATATTTCAGTAGCTAAGTGTATTTCCCTCCAATGTGATCAATGGCTCTCTCCAGCTATATAGTAAGGATGTAGCTGGTTAAGTAAAAAGGGACAAATTGGGGGACTTCTGGGAACAGAAGTCCTTCAGATGAATAGTTGATTAAAATTTCAATGGAGGGAACACCATATCTGTCAATTCATTCTTAAGGAGTGAAATAGAAAGGAGATACCTGAAACATGACTGAAGCTGTTAATGTCCTGCTGATGATAGAAGCAGAGTCTCGAGCTGATGAGAAGAGTCGTAAGCATGCCTGTGTTCCCGTGGAGCTGTTGTCTGTGCATCTCCTCCCTCGTGTAACGTTTGTGACCTTACTGTGGGAGTTGTCTTTGTGTGAGCTGTGTTGCACAGCAACAGATCCACTTACACACAGGTGTTCTGGAGAGGTTTTTTTCTCTGAAAGTTAAAAGCATTTAGTAAATCTGCTGAAAATACAGGATGAAACAAAGATTAAACTGATCCTGTTAGAAATCCTTTGTTTGCTTTGCTCCGCTCCTGTCAGGTTTGGTTTTGGGTTTTGGTTTTAGTTCTCTCCTAGTGGTAAGTTGTATTCAGCTCTATATGCCAACTCAGCTTGCTGTGCGAGAACACTATAAAATGGCAGAAAAGGGTCTTTGAATTGCTGCTGTCTCTTCCCGAGAGGCAGTCTGAGGCTGCTGCCTGGGAAGGGAAAGGAACAGCAGTTCCTCAACGTGAGAAGATCATCTTGAGGTTATTAAATGTTAGATTTCGGAGCAGGGCAGGGGGGGAAGAAAGGCTTGTTGGCAAACGATCGTGTTACTGTCAGGCTGTATTGGCTGCTGCGCTGCTTTGTGCCCACGGTGTCAGTCAGCTTCCTGCTGCTGTAAAGCCTTTCTTTGTTGTCCTTACGTGTGACGGCACCAGCGGCGTCAATCAACTGCCCGTCAGCGTTTGCATCACATGAGGCTGGGCGACAAAGAGATCTGCGCCCCCCGCGCTCGGGGGTCTGGCTGGCGCTGCGAATAGACGCTGGCAGCCGTGCCCACTGCTCCTTGGTGTCAGCTCATTGCTTTCGGGTGCTCTTTTGGGAAATGACCGTGTTGAGGGAGCTGTGTGTGAAAGTGGGCTTTAAGATGTGATGCTGTCCTCTGCGGGAAGCAGTGCTGTTGCGTGTTCCTGTGACACGTGTCTTTGAAATTATTCCATAGCTTCAGCGTAATGAATAGAGAAGTGGTTCACCTGCCGGACTTGGGGTGCTTTGAAATGGGGTTGACGCTACAGCTGAGGGAGAATGCAGTTGTGGTATCTCTGTGGCAGAAAGCACACTAGAACAGAAAGGTATTAAAACGATGACGCTTGGCTTTGTGGCGGCTCTGAATTAGCCCCTGCGTCTTAAAGATGTGACAGAACATGCATACAAAAGCAATGGAGGATGTGGAGGAAATGCTTAATGAGGAGATGCTTAATGAGGAGAGCCTGAGAAGGCTGTGACTCTGGCTTGAAGGGCAGTAGGCTGCAGGAAGGCTGATATAAGCAGCTCAGAGAGTCGCCAGAGAAGGTGATGGGTGAGGGGAGCCCAGAACTGTTACTCACCAGAGCTCACCTACAGGGAGTGTGTATTTTCATGTAGCAGACAGTGAACTTTGGAGCTGGTTGCCACGGGATGTTGTGGGGGCAGGTAGGATGTTCTAAAGGGCATTAGGCAAATTTTTGGACAGCAGGTTGATGAAAAGGGATGTACCTATTTACCATCCCTACATAATGCTTCTGGCTGTGCAAAGAGGAGCAGGAGGGGAATGAACTGTAAAGGGTGGCTAAACTTGGCTGTCCTTCATAGTGTCTCTGACTGTCTGACTAGAGCCAAAGCACTGGGCTAGTCGGGGCCTATCTTTTCTGAAAAATAACTTTGCTCTTCAAAAACAAATTCACAAACTTTTTGTGGTCTAAGGTAAGATTTCAGTCGAGCGACAGTCTAGCAAATCAGTCCCCTCGAATTTTAGTTTGAGCAAGTTTCATTGCGTTTCTATTAGCATGCCTCAGAAAGGCAAGTCACCCGGACCACTGAGGCATGGGATGTGGCAATTCTGAGTTCCAGTAGCCAGCACAGCCGTCCTTCCTTTATCCCCACCCCACCCCCACCCTCCCAGTGAGCACACCAGGGTATATATTTCTGCTCACACCATGTGATCTGCTGCTTTTGTGGTTTTCTCGGTGGACAGTCTCTGTTCACGTTAAAGGGGCGTGAGTTTTCCCTTTCCTTTCTGAAGCGTGCTAGAGAAGTGACGACTGGGGAAGTCCCAGGTCCTCTGTCTTTCTGTGGCATCTGGGCCAGCTCTTCTGTCCCCAGGTACCAGCCGTGAGGCTCTGCTGCATGGTGGCAGAGGTGCTAACGCCACGTCTTCTCTTGGTCGCCTGTTGGCGTGGGACTCGAGCAGGCTGCTGCTGTTGTAGCTGCTGGCGAGAGCTGTGCACCCCGACCCTCCCTGGCTGAGGGGCTTTGCTTGTCACCTGCGGGCAGGAGCCACTGGGTGTTGGGGGAGCCAGCTCCAGCCCAAATAGCTGTTGGTGTTTTTCCATAGATTCTGTACCGTCGGTGAGAATGATTGTGTATCCTGGTTGCGATGGGGTTGTGCAGTGTTGCTGTCATGGAGGACACTGCTGCTGCGGGGATTGCTGGGGAGGGGGGAGCCCCTTTCCCCAAAGCCCCCTGAAGTGACTGGGGGGGATGCAGGCCACTGCTCAGCGAGGGGTTAAACCAGAAAGCAGCGCTATGAAAAACAGGAGAATTAATATTTCATGTGGAGGCAGCCTGCTGCTTTCTCCGCACTTGTGGCTTAAAAAGGAAGAAGTTCCTCCTTGG